TCAAAAGTTATGAATAGGCACTTTTAAAATGAATCAGTTTATGCAGTCATTAACTAATGCATAATGACTTAGTCAGGCTAGTCAGCTAGTGATTACTTTGTGCTAGGCTCTGTGATAAGCACTGGCTAGCCATGTGAAGAATACTCAAATTACTGATAATAAGGGGAAAATGCAGATTCAAAGTCTCAGAGGCTTAACCACTACCCATGAGATTACCAGAGATGACAGAAGTTGAAAATAGCAGTTGTTGGAGGGTCTATGGGAAGAAATGCAACACGAATACACTTCTGATGGAGCTATGAATTAATCCAGTCTGTTTGAAAAATAATTTGGAAGTATTCCCAAAAAGTTACTAAATTGTGCATATTCTTTGGTTCTGTGATACCACTACTAGGTATTTACCTATCAAAGAAATCAAAGAAGAGAGAAGCATACCTCAAAAGTCACTAAATTGTGCATATTCAGTTTCTTCAACTGTAAAATGGGCATAGTAATAGCATTTGCCTCCCAAATTGTTGTATCAAATGGGATAATCTTTGTAAGATGCTTAGCACAATGCCTGGTACATAGCAGGTGCTATATGAAAATTAGCTGCTATTGTTGTTTTTGTTATACCTTTTGACTCAGTGATAGCTAGTATTAGGCCTGTACCATGTGAAGCAAAGGGATCCATGAAAATATTTAAGTAGCATTTTTTTTTTGGTAGCAAAAAATTGAAAACAAAGTAAGGGCATGTTATTTGTGAAATGCCTAGACAAAGTATGGTATGTGATTGTAATGGAATATTGTACTCTTAAGAAACGATGAATATTAAGAATTCAGAAAAACTTAGGAAGACATATATGTGTGAAATGAGTAGTGAGAAGTGAGAAGTATGTGTAGTGAAATGGGTAGAACCAAGAGAACAACTTACTCATTGGCCAGTAGGTATTTCCCTAAGGACATTTGAACATTTGCATCAAAATTATAATCAAACAATTTTGGATTTGCCACAGCATTTGTTCAGAGATAAGACGGGGTCACGCACAAAAAAAAATTGCACAAGATGATGTTAATTATTACCATTTCAGTAGTATTGACTTCTCTTATACATTATTTGACATTTCTTTTAAAAGACAGGCTGAAGCAAACTAAATTATTATAGCTAGAAAGCACTTCTCTGTGACATAGCCAGAGTGTGAAAAAGCAAGTAGAATAGTTATACTATTATGCCTGTTTGCATTTACTTATTTAAAACATGACTTCCATTTCAAGTTGAGTACATAGCTTTTCACCAAAGCTATGTAGAAAACTTTTGAAATCCCATTTTAAAAGTTTAGTTATCTTCTTTTTTAGGGAGGGGAGAGGAAGGTAAGCTAAGATTGGACTAATTCTTGACAAAATCTTATTTATTTTTCTTGTCCTTTTTCTTATTTTGATTTGAGAGTAGGCAGTAAGATATTGAGAGAGAGAAACCAGAATGGTTAAAGGAAATAGTGATTTTATCTTGAAGAAGAGAAGAATTTGGGAGGGATGTGATAGGTGGCTTCCAGTATTAGAAAGGCTGCTATGTGGAAGAAGCATTCAGTTTGTTATGCTTGATCCTGGAGGGCAGAAGCAGTTGGTAGAATTTCAAGAGAAGCTGATATAGGCTTGATGTAGGTAAACATTTTCTAATAATTAGATCTATACAAAAGTGGAATAGGAGATAATGGGTTACTAATTAATGGAAGTCTTCACATGAAGTCTAGGTAGTATAGAAGAGCTTGGATTAGATGGTCTAAACCAGAGCTTCTTAAACTTTTAACACTCACCACCCCTTCAGCACTTCTGTGAGCTTCTTTGGATTAAAAGCTATTTTGTACTATGCCTAGATTTTGCAGTACAGTTAACTTCAGTTATTTAAGAAAACCCTTTGGTAGAAATTTTCACATCCATTACTGAGGTACTTACTTTACCTTTTTTTTTTCCCCCATTCTGGGCACTCTAATTGTCAGCAAGTAATCTGTATAATTATTGCTTTGGGGTTAACACCTTACTGCCAACCTTTCTCCTGTTGCAGAGATAGTTAAGAGAAGGCTAGTCCTAGCAGCTATATGACTCAGTGGATAGAGCACTGGGTCTAGAGTCAGGAAAACCTGAGTTTAAATCTGGCCTCAGATACTTACTAGCAGTGTGACCCTGAGCAAGTCACTTAACCTCACTTTGCCTTATCCATTGGAGAAGAAAATGGCAAAACAGTCCTGTATCTTTGCCAAGAAAGCTACGTGGACAGTATTAACATGCTGTGGTACATGGGGTCACAAAGAGTGGGACATGACTAAACAATAATAGTTTTAGTTAAGAAATACATTCTATTTCTAGACTCACATGGTTTCAGGGAATATTAGGGAGTTAGAGCAAACTGAGAAGGACTGTTTAGGAGTCTTCTTCGTAGCTATTTGTTACTTTGTTTGAAATGAATAAACAGAAATGTTAGCCATGTCTCTATGCTTTTTTACTGACTACCCTCCATACTTGGAACACACTCTTTTTGCCTCACACAGTCCCTCTTTTGCTTTAAGATGTAGCTGAAGTACTATTTAAAAAAATTTGCAGCAAAGGTATTTACTCAAATAGCATAATAGGATCAGTAGTTAGAAATCATAACATCAGGCACATACTTCACCATAAATACAGCTGGAGTCCAAAATGGGGTATTAGTAATTCAGGTATACTAGTGGTGAGGCACACATTTAGGGGGCATACGTGGCTTAATACAACTATCAATTCCAGAACTTCAGGATCTCATATGTCTCTTTTCTATTCAGAGGGTCCTCACACAGTTCACCATGAGCAGCTCTGCAGTTTAGCTGAACTGAGCCTTCTCAGTACCTGATATCTCCACTGGATTTACTCCTGGAGTGCAGTGTTTTAGCTGGATGGGCCAGTCTGCCCAACAATCTCAGATAAAAGACGATGCCATTATTTTGCTGAAAGTGAAGAGGAATTAAGAAACCTCTTGATGAGAATAAAGAGGAGAGGGTAAAATATGACTTGAAGCTTAACAAAAAAAGACAAACAACCTAAGATCTTGGCAACTGGTCCCATCACTTCCTAGCAAATAGAGGGAGAAGAAATGGAAGCAGTGACAGATTTTATATTCTTGGGCTCAAAGATCACTGCAGTTGGTGACTACAGCCATGAAATTAAAAGATGCTTGTTCCTTGGAAGGCAAGCTATGGCTAATCTGGACAGCATACTAAAAAGCAGAGACATCACTTTGCTGACCAAAGGTCTGTATAGTCAAAGTAGTGGTTTTTCTAGTAGTAATGTATGGGCTGTGAGAGTTGGACTATAAGGAAGGCTGAGTGCCACAGAATCAATGCTTTTGCATTGTGGTGCTAGAGAAAACTTTTAGATAACAAGGAGATCAAATCAGTCAATACTTAAAGAAGTTAATTCGGTCTATTCACTGGAGGGTCAAATACTGAAGCTGAAGCTAAAATACTTTGGCCACATAATGAGAAGATGGGACTCATTGGAAAAGGCCCCATTGTTAGGAAAGGTTGGAGGCAAAAGGAAAAGGGGGTTGGCAGAGGATGAGATGGATAGATAGCGTCATGGAAGCAATGAACATGAGCTTGGACAGACTTTAAGAGATAGTGGAGGATCGAAGGTGTGCTGTGGTCCATGGGATCGTGAAGAGTCAGATATGACTACACAACAACAATCACTACCAGTCTGCCTATCTTATGCATGAAACTTATACTGATCCCCCGCACCCCCGATCCAACATCCTCCCTAACCTTCTACTCCCCTTATCTCCTAAATTCCCTATATTTAACTAGTTTAACTATTTTATGTCTGTATTAATCTTATTTTTATGCTGTGTATATATTTTCATGTATACTTGTCTCCCCCATTAGAATGTACACTTACTATGAGTAGTGATTGTTTCATTCTTTGTATTTGTACCCCGTATTACATAGTAGGTACTGCTTAACTTTGGAAAAGTCATTTAATCTCAGTGGATCTCAGTTTCATCATCCATAAAATGAGAGGGTTGGACTATATCCCTTCCATTCTATGATCTTATACGTGTGATTTTTTGATTTTCAATAATTTCAGAATTACCAAATTTAGAATTAAATTAGAAGCCTTTGCTTCCTTCAGTAAGTACATGTAATTTGTCTGTTTTACCCAAATATATCCCATTCCTATAAATGATTTTAGATTGATATAAAGTATAGTATATATAATTAATGAAGTAGGTAATGTGGTTTTGCATATTAAATGAACCTTTTGTTATATCTGTTATATTGTATTACAGAAAAAAGTGAAATAAGTAATTTCATTATATAATGATTAGTAAAGAAGTGAGGTGTTTTTTTTTTAAGAATGCCCCAAAACTTCCAATAGTAGACATAAAAACTCTAGAAAAAAATTCTTTTTCTTATAGACTATTTTAAGCTTTAATAATGAAAAGGAATAAGGTTATTATTTTAATTTCAAATTTGGACTACTTAAAAGTAAATAGCTTACTGTATTAATTTACATGTTGTCTTGGGGTAGGGGGAAGGGAGTGATGGGGACAAAATTTGTAACTCAAGTGAATGTTGAAAACTGAACTAAAACTAAAAATAAATTTATTATTTAAAAAAAGTAAATAACTCAATCTTTAAAAATGTGTAAAATATTATCAGCTGTGATTTTCACACAGCATAACTATGTGCATATGGTGATACATTATGGTTTATCAGTTCATTGCTCTTATGATTCTACTAGTGATGAAAATTTTGTATGTAAAAAATCAGATCTCTAGTTGGGAAACACATTCTGAAGCAATTTAATCATTATTCTACCACTGATTTTTTTTTTCTTTTTAAGCACAAAAGGTTTAGTATCTTAGCCTCATATAATTTTACCATTAACTGTGCTATAGTGTATGTAGCAGGGAGGTGGAGGAATATTTTTGACAGGTTTCTGTTTTGCAGATTAGGTATTTGCCAACTGTCATCTTTTTCTCTCTTGCACTGTAGGCAGAACAACATGACTATTTGAAGTTCTGCCTTTTCTCCCATTTGAGATGGCTCAGGATACACTAGACCTTCCTTTGAACTTTAAGTTTTGGCTGAATAAGGCTGTTGCGTGGGACCAGGCCACTACTTTGGAATCCCAGCAAGATGTCTGCCTTCACCTGCCTCAATTACAGAAGTTCCTGCAGCAGATTTATGAAACCTTGAAACATATGGTAAGTAACTTACTGGAAGAATGAAATGTTTTGAAGACAGCTTCAGAAACAATCTGCACCCCAGATTTCAGCAAGTCAGAAAGTTAATGGTAGCAAAGAGGCTTGTGGTATTGACCTAATGTATTACTGGATCAGAGAGGCAAATTGGGGAAACAGCCACAGGTAATGCAAACAAGAATGTGTTTCCTGAGTCCCTGATTTATTGGTAAAGAAGTCTTTTTTTTTTTTTCTTGATTGGTTATATTGTCACATGAGACTTCCTGACCAATCAGGTAGGCTTAAAAAAACCCCTCTCTTTAAAGTAAACAAGAATTTGATCCTGGTTGTCAGGTCATAAATTGGATTATTTAAAGGTATTTCCATGTTATATTGTAACTGATCCCTTAAATCTTGAAGAGTTTGCTGACATACAAACTTTACTCTGTACTATAGTAACTTTAAGCTGAAAATCAACATGCTCAGATCACTGAGAAGTATTATAAATATTATAAGTATTTTTACTGGTATATAATTTTTTAATAATTGTTTATAGGTTAGTGCAAATTTTGCATTTTCTGTTTTTTTTTTATATCTTCATGATGATAAAATAAATTTATGTGTTTTTAGAAACCTGTATACAAAGGTATATTTTGCCCAATAATTTAATACATTCTGATTGTTTCATAGCATTTTGGTGTATCAAAGCTGAAACTTGGTTTAAATTGGACCTTCTATTAAATGGCCCCAAAAAGTCTAAGGTCATCTTTGAATGTGAGACAAATGTTAGGAATTTATTGCAGCAGGAAATGATTATTGTTTCAGTTACTTGTATGTTGTCTTAGTTCTGTCCCATTTAAAAATTTCTCCATTTATTATATAACACTATGGGAATGGAAATGGGAAAATAGACCAAGTATAAAACAACCTATGGAATTTACTCTACCTCTTTTGTTGTTTATAAAAAAAACCTTTTTGATTTGAGCCTTCTTTTCCTCTTCTTCTGTACCCTCTCTTTCCCTCCCCATCTCTTCTGCAAGCTTAACATTATGATTATAATGTCATTTGGCGTACAGTGAGCACACGTAGTAGTAGACAGAAATATTTACCTTTATGCCTTGGGTGCTATGAGATCGTTCACAAATTCCAGGTCAGTGGTTTACATTTCAGTTCAAAACTAAGGTATAGGATTATCTAATTATAAATTATCAAATATAATCTCATTGTATGTTACTATTATGAAATCCTTATTTTCAAATCATGTAACTTCTCATAATTTCTAAGAATGAGGAAAATGAAATTAAAATTTTAACATAATTCATCAATTACCTTATGGAAATATGTATCATGGTTTTAGATGACCTATTTAAAGATGACATTAGTTGCCTGAGAGTCTTGCTTTGATTAACTACCCAAAGGACCTCAATTATTTATTATTTTCTACTTTTCCAAAAGAGATAACTAAGGTTTAAAACTCTTGTTGATACCATTTTAGTCTATCTGAGATGTGTCTTTTTATAGACTTGTAATATTCTTTTTACAGGATTTTCCTATGGCTATTCAGAGATTTCCCTTAATTGGTCAGTTGCTGGGAAGGCTTTGCTGGAATCCTTTCGTCATAGGATATGGTAAGACTTTAGAGAATTATCCTTCTGGAACAAATTTTTGATAAATTTATTTCTACCAAATAACAGATTTCCAAATATCATTTTGAATTTTTATATTGTTAATAAAAATTCATTCCATCAGAATTCAGTGAAATTTCCCTTAATAAGCTTCTTCACCTGTCTTCAAAGTGTAAGTTAAAATGTGAATTGCTCACCAGCCCTGGAGTCAGGGAGGACCTGAATTCAAATGCAGCCTCAGACACTTACTAGCTAGCTATGTGACCCTGGGCAACTCACTTAGCCTCTATTGCCTCCAAAATATTTTTTAAAAAATGTGAATTGCTCTGGCAGAAGAAGATCCTTTATTGTTGTTGTTATGTAATTTTTTTGGCATGGGAAAGAAACCTTTTCTTGAGAAAGATAAATCCTATAAGCATTGTTATATCTAATGTTGCAATCAATGTTTTGTGACTGTTATGATCATACAGTTATTTCTTTGTTCTTCTTTCTACCTGTTTAGGATCATATAATCATAGATTTACAGTTGAAAGGGAACTCAGAGGAAACCTAGTCCAAAATCCTCAATTTACAGAGCAGGAAACTGTACCCTAAGAACTGACTTGCAAAGGTCATACCCAGGTTTTCTGAACTCAGTCCATCTACCTGGCCTCATGTTTCATTAAATTATTATGTTTAAATTTTGAAATCCTTACATTTCATAGCCTATAAACATAAGCCTTCTCTTTACCCCCAACCCAATTCTTAAAAGTCTCTTAGGAAGCATTGTTGTATAATAGATAAAGTATTGGAATTACAGATAGGAGGAGGCACATTAAAGTCCTGCCTCAGAAATTTTTTAGATGTGTGACTCTGGGCAAGTCTCTTAATACCTCAGATCCATGGTTTTCTCATTTGTAAAAGGGATATGATAATAGCATCTATCTCACTTCATTTTTGTAAAGATCAAATGAGATTATGCAAATTATCCTGTATGTAACTTGTTTGTGTATGTATGTTTCACATTAGGTTATGAGCTCCTTGAGGGCCGGGACTGTCTTTTGCCTCTTTTTTTGTATCCCCAGTGCTTAGCACAGGGCCTGGCACATAATAGACACTTAATAAATGTCTGATGATTCATATTAAATGCTGTATAAACCATAAAATACTATATGTTGGCTCTATTATTATTATTGGAGCCTCCCAAACACTGAGCTAGCTCTGGCAGTGAGTGTGTCAACCTCATTATCAATGTGTACATCCCTGGAAAGTACACTGCCAAGGTAAGTGAACTTATCCACAGCATTCAAAACTTCTCCATTTGCTGAGACTTTAGATTTTTAGTTTGGGATGTCCAGTAGGCTGTTGGAGATGAGAAACTGGAGGTCAAGAGAGAAATTAGAGATAAGTAGATCTTGAATCATCTGCATAGATATGTTAATCGAATCCATGGGAGCTTATAAGATCACCAAGGCTGCCAGTATAGAGGGAGAAAAGAGGAGGACCTAGGATAGGGCCTTGGGAAAAACCCATAGTAAATGGATGTGACTTGGATGTAGGTCCAGCAAAGGGGCAGTCAGACAGGTAGGAGGAAAGATAGGAGAGAATAGTGTCATGAAAACCAAGAGAGAAGAAAGCATCAAGGAGTAGAGGGTGATCAACACAGCTCTAAGCTTCAGAGAGATCATGGAAGAAAAAGATTGAGAAAAGGCTATTAGATTTGTTGATTAAGAGGTCATTGGTTTCCTATATAGAAAGCAATATCAGTTGGATGATAAAGTCAGATGCCAGACTGCAGAGAGTGAAGAGAGTGAGAGGAAAGAAAATGTAGGCACGGTTACAGAATGCCTTTTCAAGGATTTTAGCCATATAAAGGGGAGAAGAAATATAGGATGATAGCATGTAGGATGGAGGATCAAATGAGGATTTTTTGAGGAGAGAGAAGACATGGGTGTATTTTTAGACAGTAGAGAAGCAGCCATCACACAAGGAGATTGCAGATTAATGAGCAAATAGAGATGATGGAAGGGGTAATCTGCAAAAAATTGATCCCTTATACATGTAGAAGAGTTTGCGTTGACAAGGAGAAGAGCCACTTATTCATATGAGATAAGGGTAAAGAAGACAAGGGAACACATCTGAGTGACATGAGATGAGGAGAGGGGACAAGAGGGAGCTCTCAGCAAGTGGTTTGTTTTTTTTTTCGGTGAAATATGAGATAAGATTCTGAGGTGAGAATTGGGGGAAGGGAAAGAGAAAGGGAAAGAGCAGAAAGCCATGAGAAGCTTGAAGAGGGATTAAAAAAGTTAAGAGAAAGCACTGTGCCAAGTAGGATAGTGAATTGATTTGGGAGGTACAAAAGGATTGTTTTGCCAAATGAGTTCCCACTTGAGATTATGTATAAATTTATAGTAGACCCAGTCAGCACAGTTTCATGATTTTTCTTTGGTTTCAGCAGCACATGTAGATGAGTAAAGGCAGTGGATAGTAGAATTAATCCATAGCTGAGGCTCCACAGGGCAAGATTGGAGCTATGATAAAGGGGGTAAGGAATTCAATAAAACAGGCCACTTTAGACTTCTGGTTCTGAGCTGGTTCTCCAATGGGCCAAGATAGGGAAAGGAGGAGAGTGTTGCTAGTACAGAAGTGATGACTTGGGAATAGAGAGATTGGAGGTCTTGGTGAAAACAAAGAAGAGGATTACAGGTTACCAGGAGAGGTAGAATAGTTTTGATTAGATAAGGGAATTTCAGAGTTCATGAATATAGAAGTAGAACATTTGTTAGTGGTGGCAAAATCAAGGGTATGATCATCTTTGGGTCGTGTTGAGGTTCTGTAGAGGAGAAATGGTAGAAAATGGGTAAGCTGAAGAACTGGGAGCTTAGGGTTTTTGAGGGAATATCAGTATGTATGTTGAAATCTACTAGTTTAAGGGCAGGAGTTGAGGAAGAGAGAAAGACTGTGAGACAATTCCTGAACTTTTTGAGGAAAGGAGTGTACTAGGGATTGATATATAACAACTGCCAGAATTTTGATTGGGTAAACCCATCCACCAATTACATGTTAGTAATGGATTGAATAAACCTCAAAGGAGGAGAGGTTACTAAATGATGATGGTAGAGGGAGAATTAAGTGGCACTGGGGAGCAAGGAATATTCCAATTTCACCATCTTGATCCATGAGTCAGAGAGTGTGAGTGTGAGTGAAAGTACAACCAAAGAAGGAAAGAGTGGCCAGGGAAGTGTTTTCATCAGGAGGGAGTCAGGTCTCATTGAGTTCAACAAGATGAAAGATGTGAAAAAGGAAAAAAATTAAGATATGTATGTATGTATATATGTATGTACATATGTGTATATATACACATGTGTGTATGTATGTGTATATATAATATAAAAGCCAGCACTAGACTCTGAATTCTGAAGACCTGACCTGTGTTCTGACCTTTGTGACAGTCCCTGAATCTCTCTGTGCTTTGATTGGATTATATAGAGTATAAACTTTAGCTTTCTTCATAGCTCCAGATCTGTGATCTCATACCAGATATCATCTGAAGTCTCTTATAGTTCTATATCTATGATCCTATGTTGATCTAAGGCTAATTTCTTCTGGGTGGGTTTTTAGTATTTATTATAATATTCTCTCTCAATGCACGCACACACACACACACACACACACACACACACACACACACAGAGTATTCTAGTATTCCCAGCTATTTTACCCATTTAGGGTGTTCTTTCCAGATAATTTATATTCTCACATTAATGAACCCTGGGTTATTAAGTTTAATTGTTTCTGATTCTTCTTTATCTAGTTAGTCCTTCCCATGGATCTGTTTTTCTACTTTTTAAGCTAATACTAAATAATTTTAATGATTATTGCTTTATAATATTATTTGAGCCTTGAAGTGTTACTCCCTTTCCATTCCTAGATTTTTATTATTTCCCTTGATATCCTTGACCTCTTACTTCTTCTGAATTAATTTTGTTATTCTTTTATCTAACTCTTATGAAGTATTCTCTTGGGTATTTGGGAGTTTAATTAGAATAGAATTAAATTTGTAAATTAATTTTCATAATATCTTAAGTTTTATGATATAAAGTATTCTAAAAGTCTTAGTGCAGTTTTTATGCAAGTAAAGCTTGTTATTGATACAGTCCAGCCATGAGCACTGGACAACCCCTCAATTATTTGTTATTCTTTATTTCCTTAAAAAGTTGTAAAAGTCTGAATCATGCCTTAGTAGATTGACTTCACAAACTTTGTTAATTTTGTAGTTATTTTTTAAAAATTTATTATTTTGTTTTTTCCCAGTTACATGTAAAAACAATTTTAACATTCTTTTTTCAAATTTTGAGCTCCAAATCTCCCTCCTTCTGCCCTCCCTTAATTGAGAAGGCAAGCAATTTGACATGGGTTACGTATGTGTATTCATGCAAAACACATTTCCATCTAAGTCATGCTATGAAAGAAAATACAGACCAAAAATAAAACCTAAGAAAAATAAAGTAAAGAGAAATTATCTTTGATCTACATTCAGACTCCCAGTAGTTCTTTCTCTGGAGATGGACAGCACCTTTCATCATAAGTCCTTCAGAATTGTCTTGAATCATTGTATTGCTGAGAATAGCTAAGTTATTTACAGTAGATCATCATAAAGTATTGCTGTTACTGTATTTAATGTTCTCTTGGTTATGCTCATTTCACTTTGCATCAGTTCATGTAAGTCTTTCCAGGTTTTTCTGAGAGCATCCTGCTTGTCATTTCTTAAAGCACAATAGTATTCTATCACAATCATATACAATAGCTTGTTTAAAACCATTCCCCAATTGATAGACATCCCCTCAATTTCCAATTCTTTGTCAACACTAAAAGACCTACTACAAATATTTTTGTATGTATAGGTCTTTTTCCCTTTTTTATGATCTCTTTGGGATACAGACCTAGTAGTGGTATTACTGACAAAGACTATGCACAGTTTGATTGCTCTTTGGGTATTGTTCCAAATTGTTCTCCAGAAAGGT